ATAATTTAAGCCTCTGTATTCTCATTCCTAATGAACATTCCTGTAACGAGTAGTGTCCCCCTAAGGTTGTATTGTGACCAATACTATCTAATATCACCATCAATGACATAGATAGTGGGACTTAGTTCACTCTCAGTAGGTTTGTGGATGACTCCAAGGTGTGTGGTTCAGTTGATTCACTAAACGGAAGGGATGCCATCCAGAAGAATGTTGGCAGGCTTGATAAATGGGCCCATGTGAACCTCATGAAGTTCGACAAGTCTAACTGCAAGGTCCTGCACATGGGTCAGGACCATCCCCAATATCAGTACAGACTCAATAATGAAATTATTAGGAGCAGCCTTGCAGAGAAGGACTTGGGATATTGATGGATGAAAAATTGGACAAGCAGGCAATGTGCACTTTCAGTCCAGAAAGCCAACTGTATCCTGGGAGATATAAAAAAAAATCATGGCCAGCAGGTCAAGGGAGGTGATTCTCCTCCTTTGCTCCCATGAGGTCCCACCTGGAGTACTGTGTCCAGCTCTAGGGTACCCAGCACAAGGAAGTCACGGACCTGTTGGAGCGATTCCAGTGAGGGAGCACGAAAATATTCAGAAGGAGGGACCACCTCTCCTATGAAGGCAGGCTGAGAGAATTTGGGTTGTTCAGCCTGGACAAGGCCCCAGGGGCCTTTATTACTGCCTTCCAATATATATATAGGGGGCTTGTAAGAAAGATGGAGGGAGACTTTTTACCAGGGCCTGGAGTGACAGGACAAGTGGAAATGGTTTTAAGCTGAAAGAAGGTAGATTTAGATTGGATGTAAGGAAGACTTTTTTTATGATGAGTGTGGTGAGACTCTGGATCAGGTCACCCAGAGAAGCTGTGGATGCCCCATCTTTGGAAGTGTTCAAGGTCAAGTCAGACGGGACTTTGAGCAACCTGATCTACTGGAAGATGTTCCTGCCCATGGCAGGGGGTTGGACTAGATGATCTTTGAAGGTCTCCTCTCACCCAAACTGTTCTATAATTCTATGAACCTGTTCTAATGAATATTTTTACCATAAAAGAACAATATGATGACAAATAAAAATGTCCCATAATTTACAGAATACTTGGATTTAGTAGTATTTTTTAGAGAAAGTTAATTGTAAAAGTTATTGGGAAAAATTCTGCTGCAAAATGTCCAGTGTGAATCAAAATCAAATCTACGACTTCCCATTGAAATTCATCTTTCTTTATGTGGAAACAAAATTTAAAAGTAACTCTTCAATTTGGTTGACAAGTTTGAATAAATGTTTTCTTCAAAATTATTGCTGCAATTGGCTCAAATAAAAAAAGATTGTTTCTGCAAATTTTTTCTTCTAAAAAGAGTATAGCAAGAGTTGTAATAGAAATTCTGAAGTTCATTCACATAGTCTCTAGTTTAAGGGAAGGGGAAGCACATCAAATATAGAACACGAAAATTATTGGTTTTGCAGCCTACTTTGGAACTGAACTGTACTTCTGGAAGTCCCTGAGGTGTCACTGAGAGAAGCATATAATGTCTGTGCTTCATTTTGATGATTTGGGCAAGTCAGTAAATATGTCAGATGTTAGGTATTTACATATTACGGATGCATCCTGAACTCTTTTCCTCCACATTTTAGTAAAAGCATCAAACAGCGTCAAGGAAACGTGAGTGGGTTTTATGACAATTACAATTTGATGCACTGGCAAATTCTACAGTACATTAAATACAAAAATGTAAGGAAAAACTCATACCATATGCATAAAAAAACCAGGCAGAATCACAAAAAAGAGAACATCACCAGATGTCTCTACATAAACAAGCAGGTAAGTAGTTTGACTGTTAACAGCATACTTTTTAATTATATTTGGTATTAATTTACTAAGAAAACTTGATCTCATATTACCTACTTGATCTTCATTCAATTTATAATTTACATATTTTCAAGTCTTCAGCAATGAAGTTGAAACACTTATGTGACTTGTAATTTCACTACATTTTGTAATGTAAAACATAAATCATGCATATCTACTAGGACTCCTGTGTTAAACAGTGATAGAATTATTCTTATATAATTGCTGCTGTAACCACTTTCTGGGGGTGGAATTGCCAGTGCACATTCCACCACTCCAACGAAATAATTGTCATTTATCTGTTCACCTCTTACACTGTTTGTTTTGGTTTGGGTTTGTTGGGGTTTTTTTTTAATTTTATGTAATAGCAACAGTAGGGGGCATTCAGAGCTTTAGATGCTGGAGCTGGATATGATCCTATAATGCTAGTTAACTGCATTTTCAATGTGTATAATGCAGTTCAATTAATTAATAGTATATTGCATTAAATCCATTAATTCAGTTAACATAGACTTATGCATTATGAGCTTCTCATTTATTTCTTTGTTGTGCTGTTCATTACTTTCACTTAAGTTTTTAGAAGCATTTCTTTTACACAGAATTTTAATAAAATAGATTAAAGGCAAAGATATATTACAAATCAGTTGCAACAATTTTTAAATAATGAAGAAAATTATTTTCTTAAACTGAAGGCACATACATTAATAATGTGATTCGTACACATACACACACACACAAAAAAACACCCCACACACACCAGGAAAAAGTCTGACTTGGGTATATTATTTGCTGTGGTGAAAAAATGTCAGGGAAAATGGCTATCCTTCTCCCCAACTCTCAGAAGAAAATACAAAGAAGAAAAATAGAAAAATAGCTTCAGCGCCACAGATCTGAGAGAAACTATGAGGAGCCACCTAATCTGGGGCCTACAAGCAAATAAGCAAAAGCCTCAGAAGCGTACAGACTCATAAGAATGTACAATGGGTATTAGGATGACGATGCCACTCTGGTGTTATCTGAGGATACATGGGTGGAGATGGCTTTATAGCAACATGACATTTCCTTCATTCCATGATATGGATAATATTCTCCCACACAGAGTGCTAATTAGCTGGGGAAAGTTTATGCCAGCAAAGCGGTCCCTCTACAACAGCTAGCCATTGTCTAGAGGGGAACACGGGGGGATTTACAAGGTCCGAACAGTGTATGCATGAGGTTAACTTCAAAGCTTAATATGATTAAGATTCCCTTAAGAGACTCCAGTTCCAACATTTCTTGTGAGGATTGCTCATATATTTTCCATTATGAAGTTTTTGGGTAAAATGTATAAACAGCAGCAGATCTGATGACAAGACCTTTTTTGAGTCAGTGGAGTATAGAATCAGATGTATCCCTGCTTATTTGCTCCAGTGAGAGCAACCAGAGAGACTGGACAGCAGCCCAGTCAAGCTCGAGAATATTCTAGAAGTTTGGAAGTATATGTGGGATTGGGAAGAAGTAGGTTTTAATTCATATTTTTTCTTCTACTCTTACTGAAATATCTTTTTCACTATACCTCTCTCTGAAGTACCTGCATAGCTTCCAGTTTTCTTTCAGTAGAGTACAAGGAACCTCTTCAAGCAAATAAATAACATGCAATCAGAAACTTGCTTTTTATTTTGTTGCAGAAATAAAACTGAAAAAAATTCTTTTCCTTGACAAAAGATAACCCTACAATTCAACTACTAAGCTCATGACAATGAGAAACTCGGAGAAAGTTCTAATCAGCAACTCCAACCACAGAATGACAAGTTCTGGGTTTTGTATTTTTTCTTGGATCAGCCAGGGTATTATAGGATTTCTCAGAAGACTGTCACATGGGTGTATTTTAATACTTTTATTTCCTGCACTAATACTTGATATTCATATCATAGTTATTGTATGGATTCCAATAACTAAACGCATAACCTCAAATATCAAATAGATGATTCAAGAAACGACATCTCACACTGATTATGTGTTTGCAATTAAGTCTAATGTTTCTAATTTTCTCACAGTTTGCCTTCCGGCCGCATTAACTTAGACACTGAGTGCAATTCCTTTGTTAGATAGTATTTTGCCACTTGAGGAGCTGTAGGGCACCCCACCTGCAGTCCATCAGCCAGTCCACAAGGACATGGAAATGCTGAGCATCCTCTATCACACCTTTAGGCCTATACAGATGTCTCAGTTACTGCAGGGCTTTAGAAGGCACTGAATTTCTGTGTTTGGGCAAATGAATCCTGCCTTACTTTTGGTCACCCGAATAACCCTATTGGCTCCTATGGTTACACTGACTAGACCTCTGCAGAATAAAACAGTGTGTATACAGGCAATGTAGACACTAAAATTTAAATCTGAATCTGGAGCTGACTCCCACCTTTACATTCCAATAATTTCCTGATTACCCTGGCAAATTCAATAGTTTATGGTTACACTCATATTTCACAGCCTCTTCCAATCCTCAAGCAGTTTAGCTGACTATAGATGGTGTCAGATTTTAATCTCTTCCTTTCTTCCAATTTCTAAATACTAACCCTAGGAATGGACCAGATAGGAATATACAGAATGAAAACAGAAGGCGTGCCATATGTTTGACAACAGAATGCAACATACTTGTCCTGCCCTTACCCACTGTAATACTCTCATCGTTTTTTCATAGTATTTATGTGTCCTTTCTGCGGCACATGCATACATGCAGTCCATCTGGATTGTCATTTATGTCTGCATATCAGTTCATTTACAGCACACTCAAAATATATCAAGAATATTAATTTTATCTCAAAGTTTGTCAGGAATTTAATATCTAATGAAGTAAAAAAGACACAGAGGCTATGCAAATTCACATAAATATATATATAAGATGCATAGTTAGAATACGTCTTCATATGATTTTTCACAAACAAGCAAAAGGTTTTTTCATACTTTCTAAACCTAATATCCTTTAGGTCAGTGTCCATCCAAAAGAAAGATATCTGGTATGCTTATACTGAAAAATTTTATCAGTGTCGGAGAAGAAATTACTGAAACAATGAAAAATAGATTTTTTTTTTTAATCTGAATATAAATTTGCCAGATCTAAAGCATATGTGCTGCTCTTTTCTGATGATGTGCACAAATATTTTTTATCACTTCACCTGTTCATTCACTCTGGAGTGTGATGGTCCATGATGGATAAGAATCTTCACAATGTCTACATCTCCTCTCCAAGCAGCCAAGTGAATAGGAAAATAACCTTTGTTATCTGCCACATTAGTTGATGCTTCATATTGAAGTAATTTGAGGACTATATCCCTGGAAAACAGTAAGGAAATCTAAAAATTGACAGGAAACTTTATAAGTTTTTCACATGATCATACATATTATTAATTTTTTTACCCTGAATATCAGAAAAAAGACTCCATATTTCAAGTGAAACAGCTACAAAAATGAAGACCGATCGTTTCTAAGAACGAAACAGATAGCCAACATGTTATCAATTGTGAATATTCTTACTTCTTATGAATACCTATCAACAACATTATCATCAGTTCTCTGAATCCATTTCTTTCAACAGGATCACCTGGCCACAGAATCGTTTTTAGACTTTGCCAGTCCAGGCCACTGGCATGACCCTCAAGACAAACCTTCCAGGCACTAAAGGCAGAGAAGCACACCTGTGCCCATCACTGCTGAGTTCTGGAGGCATGAAGACAAGAGGGTAGTTTTACAGACATGGTTCTTGCAGTAAGACTTAAAAGTAACAGGTTTTCTAATTCTTTAAGGCATTATATACTATCTTCTATGAAATAACTGTTTCTATTTTAATTTCACACATCCAGCTTTCTGAAAGCGGTGAGGTAAAAACTGACTTTTATTATTTTGATTTTTATTATATTCCTTTTAGTATTTTCAGTGTGGCTTATCACACATTGAATGAAAGATTATTATATTGCATCACTGATTTTTAAGCAGCCTCCTGTACTTAAATTCAAAAGTTGAACTTAAAAATCAACTGTGTGGTACGAACACTGATTAGGAAGTATGTCAGTAAATAAATCCTTTCTTATCCCTCCATTTGTCTTTTCACATTTTGACACAGTCAGTACTCAGTAGTTATTAAGTTAATAGCATCTATGATACAGTATGTGCAGTTCTACACACATTTTGGCTTAATATGGAAACACTGGCTCTTACTGATTCAGCTCAAAAAATCGGAGTGGAGGGAGGAGGAAGCTCAATGCAGCCTCTGTTTTGACTAAAAACAAAGCCCTTGACCACAATTATGACAGAAGATAAATCTCAAGGCAATTGTTCTCCCAGACTTGATGGAACCTTATTTAATTGTCTATTGAGAGAAAAATGTGGCAAGTGTAAATATATACAGGTGAAAAGAAACTCCCAATCATCTTCAAAAGAAATCATAAAGATAGTGGAGACATCACATCTAATCTTTGAGAGAGACTTTAAGATGGGTTTTGCTTACTCCTGACAAGGTCAAAAACCATGAAAACAAGCAAGAAACAGCAGCTCTACTACAGGACGCTTGCTGCACAGAAAGTTGCAGAAAAGTGACTCCCAAGAGAAACATTTTAGTACAAATAAGGTTTTAAAGACTTCTCATATCATAATAGTTGGTCTTGCAGCTGGTGGTCTAATGAAGGCTAGAAATACAGAGTAGTTTGAAAGGGACACACATGGCAGGGGGGTTGGAACTAGATGATCTTTAAGGTCCCTTCCTTCCGAAACCATTCTGTGATTCTATAATCAAAGAAACAGAAATCAGACTAAGTCAGGAAAAATAAACTGAAATCTATAAATAAGAATATACAGCAACTATTGGGAAAAGTCTGTTGCAAGATTCAAGCTACAAAATAGAACTTTGGTCTCCTTCATCTTTCAAGAATGCCCTGATCCATCACACTTCTCTGGGGTGAGTCTTTTTTAGTGCTCTGTTAGAGCATTTTCATTTTGTAGAAATAGATTTCAGACAGGAGAAGACTGAGAGTCCTTAGCCCAGTAACTTTACTGGGCTAAGTAAAATTACTTAGGGAGACTGAGATTAAAGTCCCTGCCCCAGATATGATTTAATTACTTATATAAAGCAAAATAGTTTCAAAATGAAAGAGAACTATCCCAGAATAACCAAGGAGGAGGGAATTCATCAGATACAATGATCAAGCAGGGACTTGGACACTGGTATCCAGCAAGTGTCCCAGCCACAAAATACTGCTCGGGTCATTAAGTCTTATGTTCTCACTTTTCCTGAAAAACTTTCTGAAATCTCTCAAGTTCATCCTGGTATAAAGGGTGAAAATTGATACCCCTAAAGTTTTCAAAGGACAATAAGTTCTCTAAGTGGAAAGGCTCTTGTGTCAGAAAACTGTACCCAATATTGATTTTTAATATCAAGTTTCAAATCTGAAACAGAGTGTAAAGGTATTTATTTTTTATTTGTGGTGAATAACAAATTACAAACAGCAGGTGTTTGTGCAATTCTCTCACTGACAGTGCTACCGCTCTTGTAGGATCAGTACGATGGCCTGGATAGCAGGTCCTGAACCATCATGATTTATCATTAAACACCTCATGATATATTTCAGTTTACTTTAATACAACAAACTCCAAATGGGGTGTCAGTAACTGCTACCTGCTGTGAGGGTAAGTGGTCATAGCAGCCAGTGGCCATTACGACCTTTTCCAAAGCTGCAGTTATAGCTGCTGCTGTACATAAGCAGTCCACATCTTGAAGTTCTCTCTGGCTTCAGCAGAAGTTTAGCCAACACGGTGTCTGAAAACACTATTTGGCTTCTGTATGTTCTGGGATTTTATAGCCTATATTGCTAGGATTCACTTCAAATCTCTGATAGATTCAGTGTTTATACAGTGATATTTTTACTTTGCTGGGTAACTATTGGTTTATAGTCGGTATTAGACACTCAAAAACCTAATTCCATCTATCCAAGACCAGCAATCTTTGCAAGCAAAAGCTTGGGCTTTGTCAATTAAATATGTGCAATGGCACAAGAACCAATCCATAAACTGTAAGTAAGAGAAATGTGATTTTCTCCCTTAAGAAATGCTGAGTTTAACAGACCATATTAAGGGCTTAGACCTAATTCCATGAAGGTAAAACATATTAATGGATGATCCTGAATCTTGCTACAGAACTGAAATTTTGGAAAATGCACAATATCTAGTTTAATTTTTTTCTATTTATTCAGAAACAGAACATCCTATATTTACCACAACATTAACCTGGTCTAAAGAAAACATGCATGTTTCCAGAATATAATTAAAGACATAATCTAAAGTTTTAATTTTTCCAAGGAAGAATGTAAAAATTGTGAAATGGGCAAACTAAACATATAATTACCATCACTTATATGTTATCTTATGGACAGTCCAAAATCACATTAAAGTTAGTGCGAATAACCCTTAATTTCAGCTGGTTTTTGACCAGTTCCTTATCTCCCATAGAGGAACAACCCAAAGTCTGACATCAGTATTTTCTTTAGTGAAAATCCAGACAGTGTTAACACCATCTATTTACAAACTGGGTAGCTGGACTGCATTAGTGGGACAGTTCTTTACATTGGTTACAGTGGGACCCATTCTACTACAACTTTATAGACCTCATTAAAATGTTTCTTTCTTGTTCTGCCTTCTTTACAATATGTAGTTGGCAGCATAACAGTTGGTCTTAAAGGTCTTTTCCAGCCTAAAGAACTATGATTCTATGCTTCTATAGTGCAACGGAGGTAGCAAGGGGCAACATGTAACCACAGTGGTAACACAGAACAAATTACAAGGTGTAACAGCAAAATAGTTTCCATTGTTTTTCACTGATGCTTCAATGCCTTAAAGAGTTCATCTGCACTTCTTACTGACCGTGCAAGTACCCCACAGTTGGGACTTCGCAGGCTTTCCTCAAGCTTGTTGAGACGTACATGTACTAACTTGGATGGACAGCAGGGAGGGAAAAGCCACAAGGTCCCATACAAGGTAATAGGCTTTTTTTTTTTTTTCTGCTTTCAAGTGTATAACTACTAAACATTCTTATCAGGCTACTTTTACTTTGATAATGATTAATCTATACTGTTCTTTTGTTTCACAATATTGCTTCCATAAACATTCAATGCACTATACATGTGTACATGCACACACAAATATACTACAAATTTTTCCGTTGCAATTTCTCTCCACTAGCTAAACTAGCAGTAACAAGAATAACTTCTTTACTCAAAATCAAGGAAGAATTCAGAATAGCCAGTATAGAATCAACAGCTTCCTAACTGTGTTTCCTATTTGTCATTACTACATGCTGATATCAATGACAAAAATTCTTATATTAATATATCCCACGGGAAATATGATGATTTTATTAAGTCAGGGTTTGTCAACTTTCTGTGAAAATCTCAGTGCTATGCTACATGAAGTCACGCAGTTAAATAACATTCCACGTGAAAACTAAAGGTGAGGCACTTACTTGTGTCCGTTTAAAGCTGCATGATGTAAAGCAGTATAACCTGAACTGTCTGTGCAGTTTATATTTGGTCCTCGCCAGATGCTGCAAATAAAACACAATTGTAAAGTTAAGTTTTTGGCTTGCTAAGTACAGAAATGTCAGAAACTTGATGTATAAATAATGTAAAAATCACTGCAACAAGTGTGATTAAACTTTAAGTGAAAAATTATCTTGAAAAGAACTTAAAATAGCAAATGTCATGTTGATATCAATATAATTTATTTATAAAAAAAATTTTACACATTCATCTTTATAGCAGTCATGAACTTTATGTAGGGCACTCTCAAAGACTAATAACTCTTCTGTCATTTCAATTAGATCTGTTCTCCCAGTATTAGTCTGGTAATTACACTGATGTTATAATCTGACTTTGCACTAGTTTTTTCACAAGTATATATTCTTTGACTTTAGGTCAGGTAGTCTAGATTCATACAAATGTAAGGTTAGGGATAACCAATCATATTCTTAAAGGGACACTAAATTTATTATTTTTTCTTGGTTTGATATTTTAGAATCCATTTTAACCAATTATATTTCAAAATAAATTACATATATATATAAAACAAAAGTTTAATAAACTGTTTGTTTGTTTGTTTGCTATCTTTCTATATTCTACAGGACTCATTTTACAGCCAGCTTCCTGTTTAACTGGTTTTATAATCTCTTATGGCCAGGTCACAAAACAGTAAAGGAGATTTTTTGTTTTCAAGTAGAAATATGTGACTGCTAATCAAAACCACAAACAACCCAAACAAGAACACCACCTACCCCCGCCCGTGCCCCCCCACCCCGGAAACTGGATAGCAGATGCCTGTTGAGCACCAGCAGGTTCTTTCTAACTGACTACATTTCAAGCTGACTGAATCCTTTGTGGAAGCAGTTTTTCCATCATTAGTATTACAACTTCCAGGACACAAGATGATGAGGCCTGAATTACAGTCTGTTTTCTTTAGCTTCTAATACAGTGTTAAACAGCCATTGGCAGGCCATATTTTCCCTTCACTTCACACTTCAGAATGAGGTGCTGCAGTTTAAAGAGGATAACCTGAAGCTAAAAGGTGAAGAGAATTTTTCATACTGACATTTTTCACAATCTAGATCAATAAAATGGCATGTCATGTTTAATATACGCTTTTTAAGAAATACTTTGTGCTGAATTTGTATTTTATTACCCATGGAATACTTGTGTGGCAGAATGGTCTCTTTTTCATTGTGCGTATGTTTGAATGATTAATTAGCTGATAAATTTAAGCAGTTGTTTTCCCATAAGTCATACTGCATGCATACAGAATTATGTGTGTGATACATTGTGTTCTGTAGTGATTGTAACACTACACAGTCCTGGGTACCTCACCTCTCCCTGCAATTTAATTTCTTGGAAGAACAGGACTGAAATATTTTCTTGGGTGCAAGGAATCAACAAATGAAGTAATTTTTCATTTTAATCTGCTCAGAATTCTACAGATGTTCTACAGAAGGCAACTTCCAGCTATGAAAATCTCTCTAACCTTTCGATTAAAAGAAATTATTTTAACTTCATGAAGTAGTAAAAATTGAGTGCTTGAAACAATAGTTCTTCCATAATAGATGTTTTTTATATGCAAAGACAGGCTGTCCTTATCTATTGGAAGGAAAGAAGTCCTTGCCTATCGATATTCTATAACCTCTTTTATACTTTTGCATAATACATTATTTTCTTATTTATTGGATTCTACTTTCTTCCTTTGATTTGTACCCGCTTATAGTAGAATGAAGCAGAAAATTGAAAGTGGTATAGAAAGTCGTATTTTAAATATTAAAATAAATACATAAATTACCAGAATATTAATTTACTTGGTTTTGCTTGCTTGCTTGCTATGGTTTACAGTGTTTAGGATTTGTTTGTTTGTTGTTTTTTTCAAAATGCAAGGGATCCATGAGTTCATATATTATTCATGATGCATTAGGCCTTTAAAAAAAAATTAAACCCCCCCCCCCCCCCCCCCCAAAACACAATCAAAAGCTAGTTCTTCCATAATTTTCTCCTTTAATCCAAGCAGTTTGTTAATGTATTGTTGCACTTGCTGACTCTGGCCTGAGGAAATATTTTTCAATTGAAACTACACTGATTTCTTTTTAACCAGAAACTTTGTGAATGAGTATATAAATGCACCTATGTGAAGGTCCTCAGAACACTCAGGCTGGGAGACAAAGGATAAAGGAGAGAAAATCCTGATGACTCGGAGAAATGAGACAGGATGGACAGGCTAATCACTGTCAGCTCCCAAATGGTACAGAAAGATATGCTCAAAATCAGAACTTGGTTATCAAACTAAAGAACACAGGGGACATGAGCGGGGCTCAGCTGCAGGCATCTCTTTTCCCTTGGGCCAGTGCAGAACTCCCCTACTAGGAGATATTGCATTGCTACAGTAGGGCTACATTATTTCCTAGAAAATGCAGGTTCAGTATACACTGGATATTTATGCTTTAATAACTAACAATCAAAAACAAATTGGACAGTCTGTGAAGATCAATTCTGACACCCTAAAACTCCCAACTGTGGTGAATAGTTCACCTAAAGCTCTTCTCTTGCAATCAGAATACAGCAGGACAAAATTCTAGTGGTCTATTAGCTCTATAAAAAGTATCTGACTTTAAAGAAGAGTGGGTTGGGAAAAAAGCCTGAAGAGCCCTTCTTATGGCATCATAAAAAAATACAATATATTAGGAATTATCAAATATATGGATTTATCTGTTTATTAAAACACTTCAGTAGTACCTGTGAAAGCAACATTAAGGAGAACCTGGAACAAAAGAAATCACCATTCAACCTCCAGAAAAGACTATATGTTGACAGAAGATTAGCAGCTCTTTAGATTGCTATTAGTATTGAATGTTCTCAAAACCAAGTTTTTCCTAATACTTTGATGCAGTCAATAATCAATCTACTTAATTTTACATGCATTAGTAAGTCAGGACTTTTTTTTTCCTGTGTATGTCAGTAAATCAGGAAAATCTTTCTACCACTTAATGAATTTAAGAAAGAATTTGAACTTACTTTTTGTTCAAAAAGCCAATTTTCATTCAATGACGAACTAAAAACTTGAATTAGAACATGATCATCAATTAGTTTCTTCCACTATAACTTGCCAAAGTGAGGCACAAAGAAACTGAAGCCTGCTACTTACACTACTGCCAAAAGCAGAAAGACCTTCTTATCACAGTATGCACTCACTGTGGAGAAAGAATATTGACCTTTTGAACTGACGTCAAATATTAACCAGAAATACTCTTTACTTGGTAAGAAAATGAATGTTTTTTCTTTTTATAAGCTGTAGAAAATTACATGTAAAGAGTAGCACTTCAGAAGTGATTTGAAAACGACAAACTACAAGAAAAGGTGGTGTCGTGGTTTAACTCTGGACAGCAGTTGATTGATTTGTTATTTTGCTATATGCAAAATAATAATTGCGAAGTGGCCATTGTTACACACATATCAACACAAAAGCAAAGAAATCAGAAGTGAATTCCACTAATCTTCATCACACAGGCACACTCCCTATCAACAGTACAAGAACCATGCACACAGGCATAGAATGTCCATCACAACTTTAAATCTGTGTCCACTGTATTTCCCTTCTGCACATATTCTTTCATTATATTATTTCATTATTATACTGTTATTACTTCATTATTATTTAATTATCCATGCACTAATATTTATGGTCTTCATATGGTAGTTTTGCCAATGTGAAAGGAAAAAAATTCGGTAAACAATGGTAAGAGTCTTTAAAAGCCATAGAAAGCTTCCTGATGACATCAGTGTCTGTCTGCTCATTGGTTTCAATTCAACCTTATCTGACAACTGACTGGTACCTCTCCTCGGAATTGATTTCTTTTCTAAAAGGAATCAGCAAGCAGAGGATGGCACTGTATAGATGGAAGCAGTTCCTCTAGAGGAGCTGGATGAAGCATGGTGTTCACGCCTCCACATTTTAAGGTTTAAACCCTCTTGAGGGCTGAGACAGGCTTAGCTTCTGCCTAGTCCTCACCCCTCCCATTCTTCTCCCCAGCTTTTTTCCCAGGTCATCAATATCTTTGGAAGCTCTTCCTAGAGACCTCCTGGCTTTTCAGGACTATAGAAGTAGAGAATCTCATCTTGCCAGGTCAGTTTTAATAGAGGGAAATCCTAAGCTTCATCCTGTTCTCATTGATGTCAGTGGCAAACACCAACCAGTTCAGATAAATCTAGTTCCCTTACAGTTGCTGTGTTTCATAGAATAAATACGTATTACAGGAATTTGTGTTGTTCTGAGCTGAAATCTTCCAAAATTTTCATGTTTATTGTTGTTAATCTGACAGAAACACATTGACTAAACTTATTAGAGCACATAGCCAGACTTCTATATTCATTAGTGCTTTGCTCACATTCATACATATTTTCAGTCACGTAAACTGAGCTTATACGAAATATATGGATAATTTTACAGAGCATTTTTCAAAATGCAAGCTTTCACACAATAGTATCTATCATCAGTTATTCAGACATAAAATAATAATGTTAGTTATTGTGAACAGCAGCAAAATAGCTCCCATTCCCTATTTTATGCACAAATAAATCAAACTGACAACCATGTTGCTGTAACCTATACAAACTAATAATGTTACTTATCAAATATACAAGTGTTTCATTTTAGTAAATGTTACATTGCTTGCTTTCTACAGACTCCTCTTTGATGGAATCCAGTGTTATGTAAGATATATTATCCCGTCAAAAGTATGTATGTCTATTTCATGTATGGTTTTACCTGTTATTTACATTGCATTGCTGAATTTGACATACATTTCAGAATTACTTGAAAGAATGTAAATGTAAATATTTGTCTTTAGTGACAGTGGGAAAAAAACCTTTTAGAAAGTCACATTTTAAAGCATAATACATCACTAATAAATAATAATAAGGTACTTAAAAGTTGTACATGGATATCAACATCAAAAAAAGAATTTCAGGATCCTTTTTGAGCAAGCACAGCTATAGATGTTAAATTGACAAAAGCAGA